AATCATCCAATTTTTACCGTATAAAACGATTCAGTCGTTCCACGATCGAGCGATTAAATACTCGCGTCTAATTGGACGAGGAGGATTCTAAATTCTGTTCGTAACATATTCTGTTACTCCAGCAACTATCAAATTGCGCAATGACTCGTCGACGATTCGCAGACTATTATTATCCCATAAGATGGCTTTGACTCGTGACAATTCAGAAACAGTGCCAGTCGCGTTCTTGCAGCAACATTGTTGTGTCCTATTCAGTAAGACGTCGTATATCCTTGTACACACATCGTGGAGTTACGAATACGAGTACGGTTTATTTGTGCTCTCCGTATTTCGATCGATGATGCAAGCTTTGTATTTTTCACGCGAAATAACATTCGTAACTCTGGTTTGCACCTTTCATTCACGTATTCATAATAATTGCTACCTTTCGGTTCTGTCTATCTACTTGAATAAAAGAAAACAAATATATACATATATATGCATGTGTATATAAGAAAATCAGAAATAACAGATGGATATTTGGTACAACCGAGAAGTTATGAAATTATTAGAAAAACAAGAGAAAGGTGGTTTTTTTATCAGCTATCTCTCCATACATCATTTTTATTTTTAGCAGTATTACGTGAAACTTTTGTGGAAGCTTAAGATCGCTCGAGGAAAGGGTAAATGTCACTTATTTGATCACGCACGAATAAATAGTTCTCATTTTCAGGAAGAGGAAAGAAGTTTTAACCAGTTGTCGCTAGAAAATGTAGCTAATAGCGGATTGACACAGATTAAGTTCACGCGTAGGTATCACCTTGACCGAGATCCGCAAAGTTCGCATCCAAGTTCTTTTCGTGTAAACTTGCTTTAAATATAAATTTATATATACATACTTTTAGTTTCTTGCTTCGAACGTAGGTTGTATTATCATGTATTATTTACTACGACTCGTTCTACCAAATCCTCGATCCTACCGCGGTGAAGAATATAGGATAAAGTTGCCTAATACGAGAGCCATTTCTTTAAAAAAGTCATAACTCTCGACTAAGCACGCTTTCATTAAAATTCGATACACATTTCAAAAGTGAGATATGTACTCTTTTGTAACGCACTGGAAAGTACGGTAAAAAAATTCGATTCCGTCGTAATAAAATAAAAACGAAAATTATACAAATACACAGATTTAAAAAATGGGTTCCTAATAAACTGAAACTTATTTTTTCTGTCTTTTTTCACCCACCGGTAACACTTCATACACTAAAACAAGATTGGGCACTCCGTGGTGAAGAATATACACTGTAAAATATCAAGTTGTAATATGGGAAATAAATTTTCTTCGGTTAATGTGACCAGTATAGTTTTTTAAATCTAGGTATGTACCAATTGAACCGAAGAATTTTTCCCATCGAGTTGCAATGTTTTTAATATCACTTTCAAGAAATGTTGCATTTCTGGATTTTATAAAATCAGAGAAGACATTTTCTGTTGCTTCCTGATTTGGAAAAACTTATTGCTACCGTTTGGAAGAAATGGTACACGGTAAGAGAAAGATCTACTCAATATGGCGAATGAAGTATTTCATATTTCAATTCATAGAGCTTTTTTAACGTCACTCCTGCAACATTTGGCCGAGTATTATCATGCAAGAGAATGGAACTTGGCCTGTTTACCAGTGTCGAATATTCTTTCTTCAATTCCTCGTGAAAGATAGTCCATTCTTAGTAGTAGGATTGCGACAGTAATGGAATCTCTTTGTTTGAAAAAACTGCAATGTATATCTACGGTGACCATATTCTTTTAAAGAAAATGAAGGACAAATCAGAAGTTGTTTCATGTTTAAACAAACTTTCATTTTGATACTTTTCCACAGGAATGTATCTTTTTTAATAAATCAAGTTTGTGTTTTAACAATTCATGTCAAAGCTGCATTTGGTATAAACGCATGCTTTCAATGTTTAGATTTTTAATTAGGTTTTGTTGCTGGTCCACATGTTGTTCACTAATGAAAATACTTGTTCAGTGGGGGCATTAGATCCAAAGAGACAAACAGCAGTTTCACGTTTCTATGGGCCGTGTGTTGCGTTCAATTCACAAAATAAAGGACAAAATGGCCATTTTAGAGAAAAAGTAAATCTAAAGGACAGAGCAGTGAAATAAAGGATGTATGGTCACCGTATGTATAACGCTAACCATAAACCATCAAATAGTCACCGTCACCTTCTTAAGTTTGTATCCTTGATTTTGGAAATGATTTAAATGGTAAAAATATCCATTTTTCATCACATGTTAACATTCGACTGAGAAATGGTTCGTTAAAATAACGTTAAAACAATAAGCTGCATATTTCCTATCTCAGATTCCTCTGATCCTCTGTCAATTCACGAGGAACCCACTTTTAAAGTGTTTTCACCATTTTACTAATTTCCTTTAAATGACTAAATATTGTCAAGTTTTACTGGCTTTACTGGAAGCACAGGCTGGCGAGGACCTTCTTCAATTAAAACTTTCAAACCATAGTTTTTCATCTTTTTCGTTGGTCTACTTTACTCTTCATTTTCACAACTAGCATCGTCGCTGGAAAATTTAAAGTACCAACGAAGAATAATACGTTCATCAGCATTTCGCTCTTCAGGATTAATACTAGGTGCGGTTTCAGCTACAGAATGTTCACTACCAAGACGGTTTCAAAAAATCGAATTTTTTTTACATTTTCTTGAAGTTTCAAATGTGCAGAATATTGTGTCGAAGCGATGTACAAAAATTCAAACACCTAGCGAAGTTACAGCGTTGGATAGGGAGATCTGAAAGGAAGAACAATACTTTGAAGGACTACGTTCACAAAACTCCTGTTCCTCAAATTGTTCAAGATGCGATTCGTCTTGTTTACGAGGACCTCAGTTTGGACGAGCTTTTATAACGACGTGAAGGTGGATTCACGCAAAATAACAGCGAGAGCTTGAATTTCGTTATTTGGTCGATACCTCCTAAAACGACGTTCTGCAGGAAAAATACGATCGACTTTGCCGCATATACAAGCTTTTAGCACATTCAGTTACGGCTACAACAATATTTTATTAACGATGCATCTAAATATTGGATCAAACATTTACAATTTGTGCAAAATAACGGAGGGGCAACGACTAAGTAACGCGAAGCAAGGAAGAGAGAAGTAAAACAGCTCTGAAACTGCTTAGAGAGACTCGAAAAGAGGCAGCCAACAGTTTTTCTGAGTCAGAAGAACTAATGTTTGTACCCGGAATAGCTGACTGAAGGTAAAATTTTAAAAATCTTTTTTTATCCGAGGAAAATACTATCTTAAAATTTCTTTTGCGTTTTTCTCGGAAGCACGTTTTTGAACCTGGCCGTTATGAAATCTCTGCAACTACTCATCCGACTTTCTTCAAACTTTGTGGAAATATTCTACATAAAATTTTCTTCAATGCAGCGTACATTTTATATGTAAACGGTGCAAATAATATTTGACATGTATTTCCGGATTAACCGGCCATTCGTTTATACGAATTTATCTCTTTAAGGGGGGGGAATCTATTGTATAGGAAATAACTCTTCCGTTCTAAAGTGCAAAATCATGCAGACCTGTGTAATCACTGAGTAGAAGACGCCTTCTAAAGATAGCAGTAAAAATAAGATTGATAATATAGGTATAGCACCTGCAACAACAATCATATGCCGTGTAACTGTTGCAACATGCTAATAAAAATAGAAATTTCTTTAGAAGAAAGGGTAACATTTACTGTAATAGGGGAGTAAATCGTATTACATGTTCGCGAATAATGCGTGTTTCTGTAAGCTGTTGTTGCCAGGTTAAGAAAAGTAAGCGGCACTTATAACAGACAGTCGCTTATCCGATTATTTCGAGCAATACAGGATGAACAACAATTGTTAACTGTTTACGAAACGAAAGGAAGCTCTATACACGGAACGAAAGAAAATAGAAGATACACTTGGAGAAAAATTGTTATTTATAAAAAAAAAATCGAAACGTGAAGTAATCGCATTTTTTTTTTTATATATCCATGTGATCCCGCTGTGATTCGTGCAACGAACCTAACGAATAAAATCATTCGCGCGATACACTGTGGATATACTACACGTGTCAATGAAAAGGGACGAAAGGATAATTTTTTTCATTTATATGTAACTTCATTTTGTCAAGCGTTTTACTGTTTCATAGAGACAAGGGTACAAGTAGTAATTGTAGTTAGAAATTTCATTGAAGAAAGTGTAACGATTTTCATTATCGAGGAAAGTTCATGAAAATCGCGTACACTACTTTCTTCTTTGTAGATAGTGAATTTATAATACATACATATCGAGCTATGAAAATTAAACAAATTAAGAAAAATATATAAAACTATACAATGAAACCGATAAAATTGCAGAAACCGTAGAACTATGAAAACTGTACTGTACAACGAGAATTACGTAGCCTATAAAATCATACATATACTGTATGTTTTGTCTATTCGGCTTGGTGATTTTCTCCTTATCATTACAAAATAAACACTCAGCGCTCGGATCTTCAATGACTCACAAGAGAGAATCTCTAAGTGTGTATCTCCAATTTTTATAAAACCTACGTACGACAGAGTAACTAAAGAAAATATTAAAAAGGGTAATCGTGACATCTCAAAATCTCATTTTTCAATATCTTGGAGATTTTTTGGTTATGTTAAAAATGTTTATAGAAATTGCCTGTTCTTAAACAAGAAACATAGCTATGGAAAAACATTTTTTTTTTTTCGATACATTTGTTTATATAGTATGTTCCTGTTAATTTTTATTGCAATACGTCGAGTCATTTCTATATATGTAAATGCAAAATACGGATAAATCGGAATTTTGATTTTCGTCGTTATAACAAAATGAAGCTGTGCGAAATGGAGCGTTCAGGCATGCATGATCGAAGTAAGGTTAAAAATTGTAGAAATTTATGATTGTCAGTCGTAGTAGTCCTGGACAACCATTGTTGAGAAGAAAACGAGTTTACTTACTTGGCCAAAGTGTGTACCGGGTCCTTGCGCGCACGGAGGTATGGCAGCTTCTTGGAAGAAAATACTAAGAGCAGTCTGCAAAATCATGAAATAACCACAATTACATCGCTGATAGTGAAAGACTACGGTTTTACGTTTAATCTATTTTCTGCGCTTTACGTAATTGTTAGGACAGCAAGGGGACGATTTTATGATACGTGATTGCTAGTTCAGCAAACCGTTATTTATAATTAGCAAACCGGTCTGCAGCCAACATGCGGCACGTAGAATTTCTCAAATATTAAAGAATAGGCTATTGTTCAGTCGGTAAGGCAAGGTATCATAAAGTCACCCCCAAAGGGTCTTCGAAACCGATGCAATTACCGAGGCCTCTCGGTACCTGACCTTCCGAACGAGTCGGAGAGTCAGAGTTGACCTGGCCGGGTTTTCCCCCCTTGTTGTCGAACTTCCATCCAGCAAGGACCAGCTTCGTCACTCCCGCTCCAAGGATGTGACGCGCTCCGGGCGCAATGGAAGGGGGTGATACGGGGTTGGTCACTTAGTAATTTTAAGAACCTCCCTTCGCGTCCCTTCTTCAAATTTTAGAAGGTTTGGAGAAGGGACGACTCGATAAGAAGGCCGACTTAGCTTAAGACCACAGAGTGTTAGTACACAGACCATCAGTTACATTAGGAATAATAAAGATTCAGTCAGACTTTCAACGCAATACATTCAATCTTCAGACGGCACCTAGTGCAATATTCGAAGTACGCGGAAATTAGTACCCGAGTGCTTAACAGTAATAAACTCTGTCTGCGTTTACAGTTTTGATCTGTGAAGCCAGTACTACATACACTACACCATTCAAGTCTCGGATCGAAAGATCCGTGTAATTAGAGTTTAAAAGCTTATCTAATTATTTATTTTGTCATGGATTCGACGTTCAAGGTTGCGAATGTAGACTATTCTTATAAAAAAATTAAAAATCAATGTCTCCCTCTTGCAGAATTTTCACAAAGAATTAATACGATTTGCTGTGAACCGATGAATGAATGAATCGTGTTGAGAGTGACAATGAAAAGTGCAGTTTTTATAAAACTGTAAAATGTAACAGCAGAGAACAGAGCATCGTTCTTTTCGAAAAAAAGGTACACTGAAAATGTATCATAAAATTTTGTTTAGTTTAGCATATTTTGCGAGACATCCTATACAGTGTATTACATAATGTACGGTAATAGATTATTATTACTAGACCAGTAGTAGTACAAGTTAATTAATAATTTAATAATAGTGGTAAACTCTTGCATAATGGAACAGTGTTGAAAAAGTAGTCGTGTTATCGTACACGTGAACGTGGTTGACCCTTGGGATTTGTGTGAATGCTAAGGCAGCGCTGTACAACAGCTTTACTGTTTTTTAATAGATATCCCTCCACTTTGGAGTCACTCTGTCAGATAAACAAAACGCTAGTCGCGCGCATCTAGCACACGTCTCGCCTATATACCTGCAGAATATGTGTACAATACAGATCAGCAAAGCAAAGATGAGGCTTCAGGCGGGACTTAGGGTCTGGAACTGAGAGATGTAAATAATATGTATAGCGATAGAGTAAGGCTATCGCACTTACTCTTACGTCTTCGCTGATGGTCAATCAATCACGATAGAATAAGGTTATCGCACTTACGCTTCTATCAGCGATAGGCGACGATCGAGGCTCGCAGGACCAGTCGGTAACAGATGAGCAGTCGATAACAGACTGGAGTGATAATTTCGAGCGCTCGACGAGTAATCCAACAGTATTAATTTTTATAATTTTCATCCTATCTTTATAAAGACAGTACCAGCGGATCGGTGAGGTTCTCCCGATGAATATGAGTCCAAACACGACATAAATCGGACTAACCTTAAGAGTAATCACTCTTAAAAACATCCTTGAAAATCCGGGATACTTAATTTGGTGACTGGTAGAACTGCTTCTGATTTATGTCGTGTTTGGACTCGTTTTCATCAGGAGAATCTCGTCAATTCGTCGATACTATTTTCATAAAGATAAGATGAAAATTAGAGAAATTGAAATTTTTTATACTGGATGTCTAATTGCAATGCAGACGGTATCCCTGTCAAGTGCCGGGTCTTAACCGTCGCTGCTTCACGCACTACGCGTGACCACTTAAACTTTTTGTGTAATTTTCGAAGAAACGTAACAATCACACTTAACCATCCATGTTGATTAATTTTACCCTATTATAGTGCATCTCCATTTATACGAACATATCACAGGGCAAAATATTTTAGATAATCAAATCGTTAATATAATAAAAGTTCACTAATTTTCTCTACTGTATGTACTTTTCCAGTTTGGTGGAGAATATCGTTTAAATGCGATGGAAGTTTATCTGTGTTTTTCTGAATTTCAAAAATTCAGGCAGAATTGTAAATATTATACTGTCTCGCAACGTAAATTTAAGTAAATTAGGTTGAACTGCACAGAAAAAACAAACGGACGCAGCATAACGTGTAGTTATAATTGTTATGACATGTAAATAGAACGATAAATTTAGTGCAAATACAGAAAATGTATAATATAATTTATTTCATGATATTGTAACAAGCAAACGTTGAATAAATTCCTAATTCGTATTAAAAAAATTATTTAACACAATAATTTCAGCTTTATTATGATTATTCTTGATAAATGAACACAGGTCAACTTGATTTTTAATCGTTATAATCTTTAAATTCAGTGTGAATAGAGAAAATGTGTAATATAATTCATTTCACGACACTAAAACAAACAAACGTTGAATACATACAAATGTAACGATAGAAATTATTGCAATAATGCGTAATGCAATTGAAAAATTGAAAGAATCAAAAGAAAAAACGCGAATTCAAATCTTTCTCGATTCTAGAATATAAGAAAATTTGAATAAAATACGCGACGAGAATTGGGGAGAAGCATAAGTTAAACGCGTAAAAATATTCAATAATAAACGAACTAGGGATGAAGCTATTATTTCAATACGCGATGCACTGACTCTAGTATTTACTAAAATTCAAAAATTCTCGTATAAATTCCGAAAATAGATTATTAATTACGGTAAACTACTGAGACGGTTTAATTAAGGGTGGGCATGGTGCTGCTTTAGTTTGAAATGATTTATAAACACATAATTAACAGAGGAAAAACCGTGAAACGGCAAAACGTCAACATTCTAATTGTTATAACATGTAAACAGAACTTTAAATTTAGTGTAAACAGAAAAAATATATAATACAATTTATTTCACGGTATTGCAACAAATAAACGTTGAATCAATATTTAATTCGTATAAAAACAATTATTTAACGTAATAATTTTACCTTCACTATGGCTATTTTTAATCTACGACCACAGGTCAACCTGATTTCTAATCCTTACGAACTTTAAATTCAGTCTAAACTGAGAAAATATATAATACAATTTATTTCACGGTATTGCAACAAACAAACGTTGAATAGATTCTTAATTCGTATAGAAACATTTATTTAAAATAATAATTTCACCTTCACTATGGCTATTTTAAATTTACGACCAAGGGTCAACCTGATTTTTAATCCTCCGAACTTGATTTCACAACGAGAAAGTAATAAGATCGTTGAAACGTACTTATTTGTCAAAGAAACTTGCAAAAATGTATAAATAATAATATGTAATGTTTTAACAAATTTTTGGAAGTATAAATTAATAATAAAATTGTGAAAATTAATAAATTATACGTTATTATAACATTAATAGAATTATGACTAAACCGAAGTTCGAAGTCGAGTATTTAAAGTCTGATATTACGTGCCTAGCGAGTGCCGGTAATTGTTAAAATTTGTTTAATAATTAGTAATAGAAATTCTAATTGATTCTAATGTATACAAGTGTTACAAGAAGGCTGAGTGTGTACAGGGTGGACATAGACTAGCTAGTAGCCCCCGACCACTCTATTCACATCTCAGAACCTTCAGGTCAAAATACGCCGCGAAGTGTCTAGGGCCCAGTATAAAGGGTAAATGATTTCGCGGGACATCGGCGGGTCCTTATATACCTGCGGTACCCTCTCCCCAAAGTCATTCTTTTGATTCTTTCAATTTTTCACTCGCGTTCTACGAAAGTTTAGTTCAATAATAATATTGAATATAGGAACGAGTGCACTATGCCCACCCTAAATTAAACCGTCTCAGTAGTTTACCGTAATTAATAATCTATTTTCGGAATTTATACGAGAATTTTTGAATTTTAGTAAATACTAGAGTCAGTGCATCGCGTATTGAAATAATAGCTTCATTCCTAGTTCGTTTATTATTGAATATTTTTACGCGTTTAACTTATGCTTCTCCCCAATTCTCGTCGCGTATTTTATTCAAATTTTCTTATATTCTAGAATCGAAAAAGATACGAATTCGCGTTTTTTCTTTTGATTCTTTCAATTTTTCACTCGCGTTCTACGAAAGTTTAGTTCAATAATAATATTGAAAATAATATAAATTCGCGGTTTCTCCCTTTCTGAATAAAATTGAAATAAATCGCGTTTCGAAGTACTTTTCGCGTCGTCCATTCCACAGTGACTCACACTTTGTGAGTTTGTGAGTCTTGCAAAATTGATCGGAACTGGGAGGAAGGAAGGAAGGATGACAATCTGAGTTAATATAAATTCGCGGTTTCTCCCTTTCTGAATAAAATTGAAATAAATCGCGTTTCGAAGTACTTTTCGCGTCGTCCATTCCACAGTGACTCACACTTTGTGAGTTTGTGAGTCTTGCAAAATCGATCGGAACTGGGAGGAAGGAAGGAAGGATGACGATCTGAGAGGAAGGAAGGAAGAAATGCAGTCAAATCCACGTTGCAGAGCTTAGCTGTTTAATCAGCGAACAGTGAGTTACAAAAATGGGTTTTTTTTCTGGTGATTTGGTTTAGTAGTTAGTTGTGTTGTATATTGCCAGCTGAAATATGAGCTGGCTGCCCCAAATTAAACCGTCTCAGTAGTGTTTCGCAATTAAAAATCGGTTTTCGGAATATATACGAGAATTTTTGAATTTTAGTAAATACTAGAGTCGTTGTATTGAGT